CCAAAAAATAAGATATAAATAAATAAACTGAGAAGAAAGGTTTAGTTCCTTGATGGAGTAGTTGCCCACAAACATCTGCTCAGAGGAATATTTTTTTGGCCAAACTAATGTCCCATTCATTTATCATGTGAGAGGCTGGGCAATTTGTCTATGGACATAATACAGAAAATGAATAGCTATGATTCTCATAGATCCAGCTGGAGTAGAAACATCAGGCTTACTGAGAAAGCTAAGTGTTGCCTTTCTAGACCCTCTTCCATCTGGCTTACCAGATATATAGGTTTGAAAAGTAGACTGAAGAAACAAGAACAGATGGTAGGTGATTATGAAAGAAGTCAGAAATCCTCACTATACCTATATGATTTTCAGTCACCACATACTTGTACATGCAGACAGGGTGTAAGGTGCCATTTCAAACCATGGATGTGATATGTAATAGTCAGATTCAGTCATCCATCTCCATCATCATGTCTTGGTGTTGGGAAGAGTCAGAAGCCTTTCCACTAGGTATTGTGTTGTCAAGCATAGCTTCCCGGAGGAGCTAGAGAACATGGCATCTGAACCGATTAACCACCCTCTCTTCCTCCAGCCTCCCCCAGCCTCTGTGTTCCACTGCTCTGCTCTCTGGTATATGAGATATGCTTTTGTTTTATCTTCTAAGCAGAAGTGTGAATGGGTGGTGTGTGTTTTTTTCTGTGTCTGGCTCCTTCCATAGTGGTGTGAATGGCAAGGGTGAAGCCCTTTGTCTTTTTAGATTACATATAAAGTGTGGGGGTTCTAGTACATCTAAGAAGGAATCTGCTTTCCATGTCTAATTTTAAAAAGAAAACCATATTGAGTATGTTCAAAATGTCCAAAGTCACTTTGTGTCACAATATGAAAAATAAAATTTCCCAACAAAGCCATGAATTCAAATCCAGGTACCAAAGGGTTGGAGAATACATAATTTATAATGCCAGTATTTCAGCAAGGATATCCCAAGGAAAGGTGGTGTTTTCTTAAATGTATTCAGTGGGAATGAATATAGGCAAAGACCATGTATACAGCCTTGGTTCCAGAAGTTTTATGTGCTATTACTATTTGTTTTGTTTTCTGGAGTCAGACAAAAGTGATTAGTCATCTTTCTAACAATCTATTTGAAGGATACTCTATGTACTACAAAATTTGTTCACTTATGTATAAATCCAATTGTTTCAGTGATGTTAGAATTGTACAATTAACACCCACAATTCAATTTCAGAGCATTTCGATGATCTTCAAGGTCCTTTATTCTTGCTTACATTCAGTCTCCACTCCCATGCCCAGCCCCAGGGAACCACGCATCTTTTTCTAACTAATTCACCTTTCTGTACATTTCATAGGACCCAAAGCACCTGCTCTGGCTGGCTTTGAACTGGGATCCTCAGATCTCAGCCTCCTGAGTAGCTAGGATGACAGGTTTGAGCTACCAGCACCCGGCAGCTCAGAGAGTTTTGACAGGGAAAGAGCTGTTCAGTCTATGCCTCTGCTGAAGTTCTGTTACTGAATATTAAAAGTATCACTACAATCTCTCATGCTCTTTTTCCTCCAAAAACACACAAGGTATCATTTTCTTAATGCTGCATACCATGCCTTTATGCATTTATTGTTTCCATCACACACAGAGTAATTGTAAACACTCAAAATGCTTGACAGCAAAGAGCTCAAGTGTTAGGAATTCACACTTTAAGTCAATGCATAAGCTGTATGTTTTCACATGCACCTTTGAGTTGCCCCATTTTTTCCCTATTTGCCACTGCCATCATCTCTGGTAAGTTTTGGGTGATGACTTCTCAAATCTACATGTGGGGAAATCTGTCCATTTGTTTTGTTTTATTCTGCTTTGGCTTTGCCTGCTTGTTTGCTTTAAAGAAGTACTAGAACATCCCATCACAGACACTGATGATTAAGTAAACTATAATTTTTTTTCCATTATGTGTTAGAGCCCTCATTTTCTATAATTATTTCTCCTCCCACTTTGTTCCAGCAAATGTGGTGCTTCTTGCACAACATGCATGTGAAATCTTTTCTCCATCCAGGACAAAGCCAGGTTTCTTTCTTTGCAACATAAATATTATTCTTTTAGTTATGAACTAAGCCTTTACGTACTGGCACATACATGGGACACTAAATTATGTGCTTTTTATATGAGGATATCTAATTCTCCTGCTTTAAAATTGTATTTATCTGTTCAGTGATCCTTTGGCCTTGTGCATGCAACATACGTAGAAGGTTCTAGTCCTTTACTTCTAAGTTGATTTCCATCCTTCAGACCTCTGAGATTCTGGAGGAGGAGAAGCCCGCATCTTTTCTTCTAAGGAAGAAAACTTTATGGGTCTGGAGCTCTGGCCTTAAAACTATTTTCTCTCTCTTTTTTTCCAACCCCCACCTGGTTGTTATTAACATCTATGTATTTCAGATTCCAGAAAATTAAGGCCTCTGCAAAAAAAAAAAAAAACACAAACCACTGAATATTCAATAGTGAAAGATGTCGGTAGCAAGTAACAGCAACAACCTCTTGAGAAACAGGAACAGGAAGCAGCTCTACTTCTCACTCTTAAGGAATGATGGTGCTCTGTGAACTATGCCCTCTTCCCAGTGCAGTGTGTCTATTAATATTCCCACTCACCACTGGGCATACAGCCATTCTTTTACCTGAAATTTTCACTGTGGCACCATTAACATGTCTAAGTCACACCAGGTTCCTGGCTGCGAGCTCACATGGCCACCTGACGAGAGCTCCCACAGAACACAGCTTCGAGCTTCTGTTGGCTCCACAGTAGTCCATGAACTCTTTGGGAATGGAGTCCTTTGCATTCATGAGGCCTGGATGAGCCTCCTGTACCATATGCCATAATTTGGAGCTTATATGTCCCCCCAAAATCCACCTGGTACCCCACCCTGTGGTGCTATCAGAAAGTCAGATAGAGGCTGGTGGGAGTAAGTTAGATCACTGTGGACTTGGATGCTATGGGACTCTGGCATTTCCTCTTCCTCTCTCTTTGCTTCCAAGTCACCATGAGGTGAGTAGCTTTACTCTACCACACTCCCCACCATGACGCTCTACTGAGCCACAGACTGAAAGGCAATGGGCCAAGCAAACCACACACCAAAACCTCTGCAACCAAGACCCCCAAGTGAGCCTCTCCTCCTTATAAGTTTGTTTTGTCAACTCTTTCGTCACAGTAACAGAAAATGAACACTCTACTAGAGAAATGGGACCAAAAAAGAGTAGAAGCTGATACGTGTGGCCATCCGTGGGTTTGGCTCACGTTTCCAGATCCTTCTCTCTGCTAAGCCCTTTTCATGGATTGTCCCTTCTGATGTCCATAGCCATTTTCTGAGGCAGCCAGCGAAGCTGTAGCCATTTTAGGTGGGGGTGGGCCACTGAGAAGCAGAGAGGTTAACCAGAATGCTGAGGTCATAGGGTCAGGAAGATGGTGGAGCTCAGATGCAGGTCAGTCCAAGGAGTCAAGCTTCAGGGGCATACCAGGCCAAGTCACTGGCTTTAATTAAAAGGAAGGCTTCTCCATTCCACCCCCCCTCCAACCAGGTCACAGAGGGCATGCAGGGCTAGTCCAGTGCACTTTGGGGGCCATTGTTGTGCCATACCTATCACAGACTTCAAATTCTTGGGCTGGTCAGAAGGCAGGAAGAGTCTGACAAAGGAAAAGCATACTGATGGCATGGTTTTATTACATTTTCATGAAAGCTCTGCCGCAATCCTGAAGCAATTAAGGACTAATGGAACAGCAAGGAATATTCTCAGTCATGCAGAGTAATTTCTTTTATAATATCTGATTTGATTTGCAAAAGCCAGAGAGCATGTGCTCATTAAAAGGCCTGCCCTGAGCATCCCAGGCTTTATAATCATCTCAGTCTGTTACCACTGGAAGATGTTTTCCTTCACTACTGATTCGACTATGTACCAACTCCTATATACCAGCCAGAAAGAAAGAAAACATCAGAAACTCACTTTTTGAGGACTGGTGCCTGGTCAGTCATGTCAATCCAAGTGAACCTGCAATGATTCAGGTTCATGGAAGGGAACATTGTATTAACTTTGAGGTTTTCATCTATTACATACACTGTACTCGTAAATGCCCCCATTCCTGTCTAAGAAGAGTGAAATGAAAGGAAGAGAATTTTACAACCTGACTAGAGGAGGTGGAAGGAAAAATAGCGCAAAGGAAAATGTGCCACTAGTTTTATTTGTGCCATTTAAGATGCCATAATAACAAAAGTAATTAAGTAGAAGAGGATATTAACATCTGGAGTAGATAAAGAAGGGTGATATTGTCTTATAGTATCATTTTTAGTAAGTTGTACATATTTGGTACATTTTTAGTTTAGGACTACAAAGTAGCATTTGTATGGAACATGTTCAGTTTGCAGAGAATTGTTGCATTTTCACTGACCTGCTTTGCATCTCCCACATGAACTTCTGAAATCATGTGACACCCCTTGGTAGCAGGTCCTTTAACACTGAAATAGAGATTCAAAGTAGGTAAGGGGCTCACCCATAGTAACAGGTAAGACTTGCACTGATGCGGTATATATACACTGCCTAAACTATACAATATACATTTGATACACAGTATATATGTTATATGTACAATGTGTCTTCTGTGTTAAATATAGTTATATTATCATATAGACCTGATGTTATAAAATAAAAATATATTATGAGCATATTATATATATATTAGGGCATTCTGCCTATATTTGGCATCGTTACTAATATTAATACATAAATCATTATTATATGTAACATTATATTCTCCATATCTTTCCAGGCCAAAAACTCCTGAATCCATAAAGCAGGAAAGAAAAAACAATGCCAGTAATACTCTATTGGTACCATGCTATCTGGAAAGCATGGAGGAAACTAAAATTCAGAAGTTGTGCTTTGTAACTAGAACTAAGTAAAATTATGCATTTGACTTCAGCTCTGCCATTTCTTCCTCCCCTGCCTCCTCCAGCTGCTGGCTGGGCGCTGGCCTTTTGACCACAATGACTTCGGTGTGTTCCTCTGCAAGCTGTTCCCCTTCCTTCAGAAATCATCAGTGGGGATCACCGTCCTCAATCTCTGTGCGCTCAGCGTCGACAGGTATGGGTTTTGCCTTTTTGTCATTTGAGTGTCTAGAAAGGCATCTTTTACAAAAGGACAAGTCAAGAGAGTCTGTGCCTGCAATAATTGTTAACTAGTTTCAAGTGAATTAAAACACTATCAGTTTTGTCTCTACTGTGTAGAATTCTTCACTCAATTGCTGATCATCAGTTGTCTTGGGTACCGGCAGTACATACCTTTGGCCTTTGGGCCAATAATTGGCAGTTAGCATCTTTAAGACAAAATAAATAAATAAAAATCCAGTGATCCCGGTGCCTATGGGTCATGCCTGTAATCCTAGTTACTCAGGAAGCTGAGATCTGAGGCTTATGATTCAAACCTAGGGAAGTCCATGAGATTCTTATCTTCAGTTAAAAGCTACCAAAAAGCTGGAAGTGGAGCTGTGGCTCAAGTGATAGAGCACTAGCCCTGAGCAAAAAAGCTCAGGGACGTGTGTGTGTGTGTGTGTGTGTGTGTGTGTGTGTGTGTGTGTGTGTGTGTGTATGTTCAATGACATAATGACATTAGCTATAATCAACCTTGTTGATCCAAGTGTATGCAAACTCTATATTTATCAGTTATAATGCTTGAACAAAGTAGTAATTATACAATGTTGTTATATTCTTCTCCATAGTTTTTCCAATGTTTATAATGTTTCATAATTTATATAGAAGGCAACAACAGTAATAACCTTTATCCAATTCTGAGAAATTCAGCAAGTATGGCTAAGGCTTTCCGGAATTCTCACAGTTCTGTGAACTTCTAGACAGTATCTCCTTCACCTGCTAATTTTCACAGCAGTAATTAGTATAAAGGATGAAAGTAGGAACTTTATGACCCATTCTATAGTGCTCTTTTATGTTTAATATAATGTTACACAATTGGTGTACAATGTCCTGTTAATGACCTTACATACAATTTAGAAAAGCTTTTATTTTTTACTGAGTTCATACCACTGATGATCACTTTGTCCCAGAGCCTAAGTCTCATGACTATAGGAATAAAAAGCCTAAGTCAGGTGTCAGGGATTCACATCTGTAATCTTAGCTACTCAGAGAGCTGAGACAGGTTAAAAATATTTTCCAGAAATTACCTGTGATATGTGCTACAGTTATCTCCACTTTACAGTTGGGGAAGTTTAATTTAGAAAAGACTAATCAAGCCACATGATTACAGAATGTTAGAATCATTCATCAAATGTAGGTAGTCTCTGTTCTTCACTACTGTACTTATCTATGAAGAAACTGAGTCACAAAGCAGTACAAGGAAATAAACTAGTATCTGTGCGATCTCTTTTTTTTTGGTCCGGTTGTGGGGCCTGAACTCTGGGCCTGAGTGCTGTCCCTCAGCTCTTCAACTCAAGGCTAGCACTCTACCATTTGAGCCACAGTGCCACTTCCGCCTGTTTTCTTTTTTGCTTATGTGGTGCTGAGGAATCGAACCCAGGGCCTCATGCATGCAAGGCAAGCGCTCTACCACTGAGCCAACTTCCCAGCCCCTCTATGCGATCTCTGAAGTAGAAAGACCTTCTGAAGTAAGACATTGTGAACACAATTATATCTCAAGGGATGAAATTCCTAAAATTCAGACTGAGCATTCCTAAAATTTTAAAAACATTCCTAAATTTTTAAAAACAAGTTAATAAAGTAATAAAGGAAAATTCTGCCATGCCTGTCAGAGGCTCGGGCTTGCCCTGCCTCAATTTGCCTTTGGAGAATCTCAGAGGGCCTTTCTGCTGAGACTCAACCAGATCCAGTCACAGGCAAGGAGACTTAGGCTGTAGACTCTAATCTCCAGTGTAATGTGTCCTCCCTGATCTCATGTGTGAGGAAAACTGAACTACATGTCCCATCACTTCAGTCATCTACGTACAAATTCAATGTGAGTCATTCTTCATTCAGAAAATGGAAAAAATGCCAAGAATTATCACTAAGATAGTGATATAGTCTGACTTTTAGACCAAGGAGATGATATTTTTAAAAATCCACTCCTACAAAAACAGCCCTACTCCACGAAATTGTTCCTTCATAATAAACTCTGTTTGGTTGTCTTGTAGTCTACTAAAATACCATTTTTAATAAAATAAGCAGTAAAAAAGAAAGAAATGGGAGCCTGTCACAAAACAATTTGCAGCATGTGAAACTCCATTTTCACTATCTGAGCTGAATCAAATTATGAACCCAGAAGAGTTGCCATGATTTTTAATGATATTTTAAGTAGGATAATTGTCTCTCATTTTGGAAATGAGACACCATATTTTGGGGGGACAAATGGGAGAAAACATTCGAGCTCTGTTGAATTTCTTTATTACTTCATCAATCACTCTGTGGTTACAGAACATTGAAAGATCAAAGAAAAGTCCCAGCTTTCTCACTACCAGTCTTTGATCAGCCTGAGATAAACAAAAGAGTAAGAGAAAGCATAGGGTTTTTACCAGAAAGAATGACCTTTCATTGCTCAACTGTGACTTGTCAGGGTTAACCTTTTTACTAATTTCTCCTTGAATTGAACTTTTAAAAATCTTTAATCTTACATTCTTAGTCTCTTCTGAATAAGAGAAGGAATTTCAGAAAAAGGCACAAATTTCAACCCTACTTAGAGGGTCAAAATAAGTTTTTAATGCTGAGGCACTAAAATGAATGAACTTTTCCCAGGAAAATGTGAATGATGAGCTATTAAGATAGGTTTTTTTGCATGACATATGTGTTATTTTGAGTTTGGGGTAGGGAAGAAGAAGAGCAGGAGGAGGAAGGCTATGGGGTATTGTTCTTTGTAAAGTTTCAGTCCTGTTTAAAATAGGAGATGATGGTGTAGGTCAGACATGAACAACTGTAGGTGCAAATCCCACCTATAGTTAAAAGGTGACTAGTGAGAAAGGCTATAAAAAGATAAAACTCCTTTAACAACTCTTCCAGAGTGATGTTTAAATAGGTACTTGGAGAAGTTGCAAAGACCCATTCATAATGCCTCACATTGAAAAGCTGGTGTCAGCTCTCCAACCCATCATTTCAAATCATCACTTAGTGATCTCGATGATGTTCTCAAACATTATCATCACTCAAGTTAGCATGAAGGTGATTTTCTGAAAAACCTTGTTTTATTTAGACTTGGGCTTGTTTTCTTCTTATTCTCCTAGCGATATGGTTTTTAAATGCTGCTTAACCAGCATACAGACTCAAGATGGAGCTGAACCCAAGGAGAGGCAAGAGGGGTCTGCTAGGGCAGCTTGGGATCTTATTTGGGGTCTGTTCCTGTCACTCATCTCTTATCTTCTGTGACTGTCAAGATCAGGCCACTGGTGAATATTGCTACCCCATTTCTCTCCAATGACCAGCTACTCCAAAATCAGCCATTTAAAATATGATTTTATCATATCTCACCATGTTATAGATCAGGAATTCAGGCAGTTCTTGTCATTCCAACTAGAGGTGGGTAGTAGATTTCAGCTGGTGCTGAGCTTGTCTCCCGGGTCCACATAGCACACGTCTGGCGCCTTGGCAAGGGACGGAAGTGTTAGCTCAGAAGAGTTCACCTTCCTCTTACAGAGCTGCAGGGCCCTGGACACTCTACTCCAGAAGACTGGAGCTGCAGGGTGGAACCTGCCATTGCTGGCGACAGGCTGACCACATGGTGGCAAGGCATCCATCTAATGAGGATCCATTGTCAGATGAGCCAGGGCAAGCTAAAATTGCATAGATGCACTTGTAGGTCTCTTTTAACCCAGTCTACCTGGTTTCTGCTAGTAGTTTGCCTCTAACCCGCCTGTGGCAATCAGTTTGTTTGTCATGTGAGAGATATAAATCATAAACAACCTGGAGAATGGTCACTGTCCAAGATGGGTAGCAATGCTCCTTTACCTTACAGAAGTGGCAAAATTGGAGAAAATAAACACATTCCAAGGATGGCAAGCACTTTCCAAAAGACACTTACTTGTTAAAAACTTTTTTAAGGTGCTTAAGCAAGGTGTGACGACTCATACCTGTAATCCCATAATCTGCAAAGCTAAGGAAGGAGGATCTCAAGTTTGAGGCTGCTTCTGGGCAACATAACTAGACCTATGTCTCAAAAGATAAGAAAGGTATTTGAGCCACTTTCTCATTCCCCTGATTCAACAACCCCCATTCCACTAGGATAATTCATCCAGAACACCACTCATAAAGAGGAAATAAATCCATATATTCAAGCATTTTGTCATTCAGGACCATGAAACACTAGAAATGGTGCCAACCTAGGAGAAAGATTTCAGCAAATACTGTATAATCCTATGCCATTAAATTGATAAGTGTCATGTCTATGTAGACACACGGGCAATCATTTTCTTATATAAACAGAGCAAAGCATAAAGTTGGAACTGATGTAATTATAGTATGTTTTCAAACTCTTCCTTTGAGAACAGCAGTGGCAAAGAATGAGAAAAATAAAAATAGATTTAGTTAATATGATGTCTCTGGGATTGAAGTTCTATTTTTACAATGTTTTAAAGTCTGTATAATCATAAAATGTTTTGAACATAATGAGTCAGTCCATACCTTCAGTATACATGCATAAAGTGCCTCCACATTAAAATTGTAAAAATCTACTGGTGACAAACGTCTTCACATAAATAAAACACCATTTTTCCTTTCATTCTGGCATGTAGAATGATAAGGTAAAGGTAATGCAATGAGAAAACACTTCCCTGGGAGTCTGTCCACCAGAGCCCTGACCCTAACTGAAGACCAAGCAGAGTGGCCCCACACCAGCCCTCTTGTCTCCCCATCCTCAGGTTTTGTTTTTATGAGTGGGTTCTGTGGTGATTAATTTTCCATCACTGTCACAAAATCCTTAAGGTATTAAACTTCTAGGGAGGAAAGGTTAGTTCTGGCTCACAGATTTAGAGGTTTCTGACCCTGGTCAGATCTTGGTCTTTGGGTCTGGGGAGGCAGCATACCACGGTGAGAGGGAAAACAGAGGGAAGGAGTAGCCAGTATCTCACATTCCCTTGCAAGGGCAAGACCTCACTGACCTGACTTCTTCCCATAAGTCTCCACCTCTTAAAGGTTCCACCACCACCCAGCAAGTGTGACAGTGCTGGCAACCAAGCCTTTAACACATATGGCCTTTTGGAAATATGATCAAAACCACAGCAATGTGTCATGTTCTGGGAACTTAAAGCACATTATAAAATGAAGCTTGTTTGTGAATGTATTTATCCTAAGATCTCACTGATCCCATTTCCCTACTTAAGCCACCTTCTGCCCCAAATCCTGGCTAAGAAGCTGGGCTTTATTATTTTAAGATGAAGTGAGTGAAGTGTTTATTAAAATCACCTAATTGAGCTTAAGAAAGAGAGGAAGTAACAGCTACAACTTAGCTGGCAGTCTTGAGATACAGATGGCCCATGTCCATTCCCTTGAGCTTTCACTGGACATCAGGCCTACCCATTCAATAAGGCAACAAGGCAAAACAGAGATGAAAAGCAAAATAAACCAGGATTTGTATCTTACTACCAAAAAAATCCATAAATTCTTCAATGCAATCTAGACTGTATTATAAAAGAGATTTTCTTGATCTATTTGCATGCCTGTATTTTATTCCATTCTGAACACACCTGGACTTTCTCTAGAGACTTATTGTACACAGATCTTGTTTACCCCAAAAAAGTTGTGCAAAATGTTTCTCCAGAAAATTGAGTTATATAGACCTAAAATTATAGATAATAGTCTGTAAGTGATTCTGGTAAAGAATTAGACATCATGATTCCAAAGAGTTGTGTTTTCCCAACTATACTATGTGGACAGATTTTAACAGTTGAATACAAAGGGTAAGGGCTCTTCCTGATGGCCTAGGTAGCTTGTACATTTCCTTGGTTTTTGTGAGTAATCTTCTACAGTAAGTTGCATGTCTTGAAAATACAAAAGCACCTGTCTCTAATGCTTTGGTCTGTTTTATAGTCTCCTGGCACTATCTACTAAAAGCTATAAAAAGAAAAGGTTTCCTTTCCATTACAACAGCAACAAAAATTTCAAGAATGAAGCCACAAAACCATGCCATGTCCCAAATCTTTTCTTAATAGTATGTCTGAAAGCATTTAGCATCAGACCATCACATCAGGTCAAAGAGCACCAAGTTTCTAAACCACACTTCCTTTTGAAGTGACATTTAATTGTGACTACCATAAAAATATTGAATTTTAAAAAAACAAATCAATTTTAAAGTATAATTTTTAATTCAGCTGTGACCGCCTTCAAAGGCTTATTATGGCACTAATAATCATTGAAAATAATACTAGTTTAAAGACAGGTAAAACTGATGGGGGAAAATCCTTATCTTACTATCTTGTGTGTGTGTGTGTATGTGTGTATGTGTGTGTGTGTGTGTTTATTCTATTTAAATGGTAGCTGTAGAATACATATAACATTAAATCTACCATATTAACTGCTAAAACATAAGACATAATTTTTTAACATCAGTTTTTAATTGACATTTATATCCTATACTCTATATGATCTTTTTTTGTTAGATTGTAACCCCTAAAGATTAGTAACCAAGATATTTTTAACTCCGTTTTATACACTCTAGAACAGAACTATAATGAGTCAGTCATCCTTTGACATTTACCAGAAATAATATTGACTACAATGCCACCCACTATGAACACACGGCAATGAGATCTTGATTGTGGAAGATGGATCTAAGGTCACTGTTTACTCAAGGATATCTAAAGCTCCTTCATGGATAAAGAGGGATAAATATGGCTATTTTTGTTAGTATAAAAAGTACTAGCAATTCTTACTACACTTTCCACCATCCAGTTAAAACACCCAGGCATATCTCTCTGCTGTTGACACAGTCTGACTCTCTCAAGATTTCTCTAAATCTCAAATACAGATCTTAGACTCAGGCCTGTCTAGAAATTGGATTCTGAATTAATGGAACTCATCATGGCCCTCACTCAAGACTCAAGACTCACCAAAAATTCCTAAAAAGGCTATGGTTGGTCATTGGCCAAAGGAAGGTGTATTCTAGAATTATAACTTATATTCAGTTAAAATAAGTTTAAAATATCCTAAAGACTTGATGTTATCACCTCATCTTTTCGATCTTCTTTTTGCAGGTACAGAGCAGTCGCCTCCTGGAGTCGAGTTCAAGGAATTGGAATTCCCTTGATTACTGCTATCGAAATCGTCTCTATTTGGATCCTTTCCTTTATCCTGGCCATCCCTGAAGCAATCGGCTTTGTCATGGTCCCCTTTGAATACAGGGGTGAACAGCACAAAACCTGTATGCTCAATGCCACATCCAAGTTCATGGAGGTGCTGGGAGTCTTACAATTCACTAAATTTACTAGACGTATTAAAGATAATTAAATATAAAGCTTGACCAAACTTTATAAGGAATTAACTGGGGAGAGGAGAGGAGAGGAGAGGAGAGGAGAGGAGAGGAGAGGAGAGGAGAGGAGAGGACATATTGGTTCTCCATCATCTTAAAACTTACAGATATCTCCCCAGTGGAGGGAGGGGTGCTATACTCTGTCAGTTCAGACATTATACAGTTTCATGAAAAGGAGATGTTAAGCCAGTGTTTAGTTCCTGAATAGAACAATTTTGCCTCCTAATCTTGTCTCGTAGGACAATTAAGATTCTAAAGTTCAGCAGGACGCTGGTGGCTCACAGCTGTAATCTTAACTACTCCGTGGGGGCTGAGATTTGAGTATTGCTGTTCAAAGCTAGCCCAAGGCAGGAAAGTCCATGAGGCTCTTATCTCTATTTAACCACCAGAAAACCAGAAGTGGTGCTATGGCTCAAGTGGTAGTGCTAACTTGGAACAGAAAAGCTCAAGGATAGCGCCCAGGCCCTGAGTTCAAGCCCGCAACTGACAAGAAAAAAAAAAAAAGAATTCTAAAGTTCATTTACCAAAGAAAGGCACAAGGTGTATATGTACAGAATCCTATTTATTTCTATAATAAGGAACACAGCATAAGAAATTCCATCTACTAAAATGCAAATGCTTATTTCATGCTTCTTAGGGAAATATACCATGTATGTGTGTTTGTCAGGGCCCGGAGTAGGGGTGGAGGGGGAAGGGGGAAGGGGATAAGTATATGTATATACTAGGGCTTGAACTCAAGTCCTCAGTGTTGTCCTTAAGCTTTTGTGCTCAAGAATAGTGTCCTACCATTTAAGCCACAGCTCCAATGTTTTGGTGGTTAACTGGAGATAAGAGTCTCATAAACTTTTCTGTCCTGGATGGCTTTAAATCTTGATCCTCAAATCACAGCCCCTGAGTAGCTAGGATTATGGGCATGAGACACCAGCTCCTGGTTCCCTCTTATTTTTTTTACAGGTGGATTTACTGAGTCAAAGTGTAGAGTGTAGGTCTGATATGCAAAAAATACAGAATTTCAGAACATTTCAAAAGGTATTTTAGTTTAACAAATTCAGATGTTCTTTGGTTAACCTGACTACATCAATGTTTCTCTCTTAAGCATAAGCCCATTCTGAGTGTTTGGGCGACACGTTTAGAATGCATGCTTCCTTTGCAAAACTACTTACACGGGTCTGAGAGAGAACTACTAGAGTGACCAGGCCTCTTAAATCAGCTTTAGTGCTTTGATGTAAGCAGCATGCAGCTCAGATTCCACTTCTAACACTTACAGAAATCTCCAGATATTCTTTCCTAAAGTAGAGAATTCACCACATTAGTGGTCTTATCCATGACCAGCTATCCAGCTCAGGAATTCTTGTTTTAAATTAAAAGTGCTCATGACAACAGCCTGCCTGGCAACCTTGAAGCTGAAGTCTTCTATTTATCCATTTTTAATTAGGTCAGTCTTCCTAATGATACACCAGACAGTAGCAGATTATTAGAATCCAGGCAGTGTGAACGGGAGTCTAGGTATTCCAGAGGAAAACATACTAATCAACACAAGATCAGCACGTACTAATCATTTGGGCTGGACAAAATAAAATGGGTTATTTCATTCAGCCTGGGTCTTCTGTATCCATTTTCAGCAACTATGCAGACAGGCTTGCAGTGAAGGGTCTGAGTTGAACCAGCAATGCCTCAGAGTTAGTTCAAAGTCTAAAGCTCATTCTCTCTTCTAATTTCCCCCTCTTTCTTCAATTCTTCCTTCCTCAACTCTACCCTAGAGTCAGTCTGTGCCCTAGACTGACCTGAGGCCTTTCCAATCTCTTGCTGATGGTACCAGTTCAAAAGAAACCTATGACCTTTTTCTCAACAGGCCTCTGTCATGGGGGCAAGGACTCCATCCAGCCCTCAGGGTCAGCTTCCAGACTCTGCAGCTGCTTGTGGGTCATTTGTACTCAACCAGAAATGCATGGGGAAGAGAGACAACAAATCAGAAATAGGGAAAGGGGGCCAGTGGGGGAGCTCCCAAGGAAAGAAAGGGGTTGTCCTTCACTTCAGAACAAAGGAGGAGTCCTTTGATGCTTTTTTAAGCTCCAAACTAAAATCCTGCAGTGTGTGCTTGGGGTGGTGAGAGTAGGAAAATATCTGTATAAGCAGATTTCAATAACCTAACTTTTCTGGGAGTTTGAACATAACCTGAGGGGGTGGGGGATGGGAAAGAAACTATGTTGATTTTCCTCTAGCTTCTAAGTGAAATCTATCATTTCCTTCAATTATAAATGTAGGCAACAAACCACAATAGTATTTAAGAGTACCATGGCTTTCCCACTTGTAGAAATAGACTTTTGTAATCATAAAATGTATGCTCATACTGCTTCAACATTTTGGCAGTTATTAGAGCCACCCTGTCTTCTGTTTAGTTTGTTGGTAAACATATACATTATTTTAATTTTATTTTTGATAGCCACATTCCATTGTAATTGGCTACATCCAATGTAATTGACTTCCATTACAATTAAATAATATTTGGTTTTATCATGTGACAGTATTTTTCTTAGAACGGACTATCAGACTTCCAAAAGGGGTCTGTGACAACACAAATAGGCAGAATCCTTTCACTGAACTCCTAGTCTTCAGGAACCATTGTTTTCCTGTGTATGCTGATATTGAAGCTTACACTCCAGGCCTCAGGCTCTCTTGGCTTTTTTTGCTCAAAGTTGGCTCTCTTCCACTTGAGCCACATGTCGACTTCCAGCTTTTTTGCTGGTTTACTGGAGATAAGAGTCAAGGAATGGTATCAAGCGGCAGTCCTCAGATCTCAGTCTCCTGAGTGCTGTGATTAGCGTGTGAGCACCAGCCCCCTGGCTTGGGAGTCATTATTTTAATAGACAAACTGTAGGTGTAGCCCACTGAGCTACTTTCTATATTCAGAAATCATCCAGTTTTTCACAGAGCAGCTGACTTTTGTGTGTGGAAGGGGCAGAATTTGGATGTCACAGGAGGCTGTATTATTTTTTAGCAGATGAATAATCTGGAGACATATTAAAGAAGTATATCTCTCAGGTTGGTATTAATTTAATGGAAATAAGAATGACGGTATCACCCAGCATCATTGCCTCACGCCTATAATCCTAGCTACTCAGGAGGCTGGTATCTGAGGATCACGGTTTGAAGCCAGCCTGGGCAGGAAACTCCGTGAGACTCTTATCTCCAATAAACTACTCAAAAAAGATGGAAGTGGCACTGTGGCTCAAGTGGTAGAGCGCTCACCTTGAGCAGAAAGAAGTTCAGGGACAACACCCAGGCCCAGAGTTCAAACCCCTGGACCAGGAAAAAAAAAAAGATAAAGATATTATTTTCCAGCTTTTAAGTTTTCTCCTTTATAAAGACATAAATCTGAGGCTGGGAATGTGGCTTAACATGCATGAAGCCCTGAGTTTGATTCCTTAATCCCACATAGATAGAAGAGGCCGGAATCGGCGCTGTGGCTCAAATGGTAGAGTACTAACATTGAGCAAAAGAAGCTCAGGGACAGTGCCCAGGCCCTGAGTTCAAGTCCCAGGACTGGCAAAAAAAAACAAAAACGTAAATCTTAACCATCTTGTTATTTACAAAGTCCTGCCCACAGTGAGATGATGCTAAGTTGGCCTGCAGATAAGCTGCTTCAATAGTTTCCAGGTGGGAAGTAAAGGAAGGTGAGGAGAGTTATTGAAGGCTTCTACTTGCTGGCTTTGGGGTCACACTGCAGGCATACCAGGCAAAGGGTTAACTCTTGCTAGCCACAACTACATAGAATAGCCACTCAGATCCTTCAAGGTTACCTCACAAAATATTCATATTAACCATAATCATCAAAAGTCAACAAAGCTCGGGCAAAATGTTGACAAACATGTCTCAAATTATGTTTTATGAGCCTCAGAAAAGAATGCTTTTTATTGATTAGGGTTCTTCCATTGTGTAACTGAAGTCAACTTCAGCTTACAAAAAGTATCTTTGTCCTGATAATGTTTTTCATATGCAGTTTCTTTATGTGCTATTAGCAAGCCAGAATAATTTCTAAAAATTCTCAGTTTAAAAAAAAAAATCACAGTTTACCAGGCACCAGTGGCTCATGTCTGTAATCCTGGCTATTTAGGAGGCTGAGATTTGAGGATCAGGGTTCAAAGCCAATCCAGACAGGAAGGTCTGTGAGACTATTATCTCTAGCTTATTAACAAAAAGCTGGAAGTGGAGCTGTGAGTCATGTGGTAGAGCACTGGCCTTGTGCAAAAAAAGCTCATGGATGGCACTCAGAACTAGTTCAAGCTCCAGAACTAGAGGGGAAAAGAGTCACATTTTTTAGCACAACCCTGAGGTCTTTATTCCCAACACAAAACATGAATTAAAAAAATACATCTGTAGATACAGAGATTTTGAAGTGACCAGAGTGGTCTACAATTAATTTATACTCCTTTGTCCTTTTTCTTCACTGGACAGTTCTACCAAGATGTGAAGGACTGGTGGCTCTTTGGGTTTTACTTCTGCATGCCTTTGGTGTGCACTGCGATCTTCTACACCCTCATGACGTGTGAGATGTTGAATAGAAGGAACGGCAGCCTGAGGATTGCCCTCAGCGAACATCTCAAGCAGGTACATTGGTTACAGTGAGGAAACCTGGCCATGGCTCCTAGAAGTCCTCAGGCTGGCATATGACTTGATTTGTTTCCTAACAGCTTTTGTCCAACCACATATACACATATACTGTAAATGTTTTATTGCCTAGGATTTATTTTACTGAACTTTTCTTATGCTTAATTATATTTACACGCACACAAACACCATTGTGCCTATAGTATAGGTAAAGAAACATCTGTACAGGTTTGAAGCTTAGGTGCACCAGGCTATCTCATATAGCCTCGTATGGAGTAAGCTATAAAAACGAAGTATACTTTTGCACAATGGCAAAATTGCCTTAACAATGCAGTTCTAAAAATACATTCCTGTGCTTAAGTGATACATGACCATACTGTGCATAGCACATTTAACCTGGTTTCCTAAAAACAAAGATCCTGTCTTGTAACTGCTTTCTTTATAGTTGTAGTGTTATGTTTTTCTGTGAGATAGGGAACTTGCCTGTGAAATAGTCAAGAGGGCTGGACACAGAGAGAAGGCAACTATTTGGTGATTGTGCCAAGAGTACATTGAGCGCATGTGCATACACATGTCTGCATTGCACTGGGCTTGGAACTATGCCAGAGCAGAATGAAGCTTGTGAGTTTCATCCCTTCCAAGCTTTGCCATCTACTTGTCAGAATACAAGCACAAAACAATTAGAGAACAGAAATACATTCCAAGTAGCCTGTACTATAGAAAGCCAGGTGGTACAAGAGATAAAGTCATGGAGAAACTGTTCATGAATGAGGGAAATTGAACTATGCCTTGGAGGGTAAATTGTATTTGATGAAGAAGAGGAGGGGCATGGAAGAGGGGCATGGAAGACAAGTGAGAAATGCAAGATGAATTTAAAAAAGCAACATCTAAAGTAAGATTCATGATAGAAGCATGTAGAGATATTCACTTTTGGAGGACCCAAAATTCTAGAAGGAATTTGAACGCATCAGTAGGAAGCTAGTGTTGCACAACCTGTTCTATTTGCTAAGAGTTCTAGGTTCTAGGTCACAGTTCTAGGTCACAGCAGAAAAGTATATACAAACATCCCACCACACTAGAAGTCAGTGTGAGTTATGATGGTCTCTCTTAAATCTATAATTACCACATACAAGCATCATTCCTCACCAACAACTCTTCGATTAGTACACCAATTTTTCTGAACTTCAAGTCCTCATCTGTAAATTGGGCTTAATAATATATGAATCAGTGTTGTTATGAGAATCAAAGGAATTGATGTGCATGTGTGTACTATATAAAATCCAATGTGTCATACAAATGGTAGCTATTATCTTTTATTAACATTTAGCAAGACAATTTATTAAGAAACTTTAGTATGACTTTGTTCAGGCATGAATGTTTAAAATACTTCAGGTGGAAAAACGTTAACAAATTGTTAACTCACCCCTGCAACAAATGAAATTAATTAGAATAGATTTGGGAAAAATAGTGTTTTAAATGTTGAGTTTATTTTGTTGTTGTTGTTGTTATTGCATTAGTGTCATGGTTAAGTCTATTTCAACTATGATTGTACCTGCTTTGAAAACAATTGGGATTTGGAACAATAATAATATACTACTTCATATTTACATGCCTCTTTAATTTTTTTTTAATCAGCTGTGGGGCTTGAACTTAGGGCCTGGGCACTGTCCCTGAGCTTTTGTGCTCAAGGCTAGTGCTTTGAGCTGTAGCTCAAAGTGGTTCTCTGGTGAGTAATTGGAGATAAGAGTCTCATGGACTTTACTTCCCAGACTGGCTTTGAACCATGATCCTCAAATCGTGGTAGGTAGGATTACAGGTGTGAGTCATCAGCACCTGGCACTTCTTTAAGTTTTTAAAGAACATTTTCTTGTCTTTTTCTTATTGGATTGCTCTAAGCATCGGTAGGTAAGACAAATAATACTCTTATTATACTGGTGATTCAGAGATTTATTTAACCAAGTGGAGATTAGAACTAACGATTTGGTCCCCTTGTAATTAATGTTTCATTTTGCTACAAGTTCTTTTTTTGTTGTTGTTGGTCGTGGGGCTTGAACTGTGGGCCTGAGTGCTGTCCCTCAGCTCTTCAACTCAAGGCTAGCCTCTACCATTTGAGCCACAGCACCACTTCTGGTTTTCTGAGTGGTTTATTGGAGATAAGAGTCTCACAGATTTTCCTGCACGGGCTGGCTTTGAACTACAATCCTCAGATCTCAGCCTCCTAAGTAGCTAGGATTACAGGCATGAACCACTGTGCCCAGCTTTGCTACAAGTTCTAAATGGGAGTAAAGCAAGGCTTTCTGGAATCTGTTGAGTGGAACTGTGGAAAGTCAGCATTGAGAAGGAAATCTTGCTGCTCTAGGATTCTACAAAGCTCTAGTCCTTGCTTCTGGCTTAGTGGTTTCTAATCAGGATAGTGGCAATCATTTTATCAATTAGATATTGTGTTTGGATGCTGGTAAGAGAAAACCCAAAGGTAAGAGTGAGTTGACCTCTGAGTGAGTTCTCCTCTGCAAAGAATTCAGATGCTAACCAGGTGCTGGTTTTAGGTTCACGCCTAAAATCCTAGCTACTCAGGAGGCTGTAATCTAAGGATTGCAGTTCGAAGCCAACCTGGGCAGAAAAGTCTTCATGAGACTCTTATCTCCAATTATCCACTCAAAAACCAGTAGTGATGCTGTGGTTCAAGTGGTAGAATGCCAGCCTTGAGCACAAAGAGGCTCAGGGACAGCACCCAGATCCTGAGTTCAAGCCCCACGACCAACAAAAAACATTCACAGCTGTGAATGTGACTTAGTGGTAGAGTGCTTGCCTAGCATGCATGAAGCCCTGTGTTCGATTCCTCACACCATGTGGAAAAAGCCAGAAGTGGTGCTGTGGCGCAAGTGGTAGAGTGCTAGCCTTGAGCAAAAGAAGTTCAGGGACAGTGCCCAAGCACTGAGTTCAACCCCCAGGACTGGCAAAAAAAAAAAAAAAAAATCAGATGCTATAGTTCAGTGGCCTAGGAATTTAGAAGCCAGTGTCTGCCTCCCCTGATCATTCAGCCACGGAGGCAGCAGAAGCAGCTTGACTTTAATATTTGGTTTCTAGGTAGCAAGAAGGAAAAAGGCAGAACACATTTGTGTATGCGCCAAAGCAGCACTCCTTCCCTGCTTCCGTTAATGTTCCCAAGAACCCATACAGCAACTTCTTAAGTTAGTCAGAACTGTCATATTACCTTGGAGGTAATTAGTCTCCCCAGATGCCACAACAAAATTAGGGCTCCAAGTTGTAGTAAGACAGACAGGACATGAGAGCAGATGTTAGATTAAGTCACTATCAAATTGCTATGGTGATGTGTAGATGTATTGAAGAGAACATATACAGAGAAGGTAGACCCTTCCTGAATTCCTTCTCTCTGTAATTTTCTGGGTGAACTGTCTCTGCAGATAATGACCCCTTAAAATGTCCCCTGCCTCCTGCAGACTGGAAGGTTTTCTCTTTCCTCACATCATCGCTCTGACTCCATCTCCTAGCTAGACTACAAATATGGAAGACTAAAGAGCTCCCAGTTCCTTGGGCCAGAGCAACAGTTTGTGAGAATTGCAGGAGAACCTTTTCAAATGGCTCAGCCAACCACGTAGGCTTACTATAGGCTTCCAGGACTTCATGTTAGAAGCTTCCAGGCTGAATAAGCATCACCTTTCCGACCCATTTTCAGTCAATTTTATTTTGACATTAACTGAGCTGGGAATATGGCTTACTGGTAGAGTGCTGGTCTAGCATGCATGAAGACCTGGGTTCAATTCCTCAATACCACATAAACAGAAAAGGCTGGAGCTAGCGCTGTGGCTCAAGTGGTAGAGTGCTAGCCTTGAACAAAAATAGCTCAGAGATAGTGTCCAGGCTCTGCATTCAAGCCCTAGGATTGGCAGAAAAAAAAGAAATTGATGAACATTGAATGATCCCAGCTACAGATCAGTTACATTTTACATTCTTAGTTAAAGCTTCTAAATACATTAATGTAAAACTCAAGCCTGATGCACACAATTGAATGCTGGACAATAATTCTATGGTTTTGCTTGTAAAGAACAGACACAAAGACATGTAAACCTTTCACTGAAGTCATCCCAGAGTCAGCATGCACTAGTTTTTATATTCTTCATTGACAACAATCCTCTACCCTCATCCTTGGTTTTTCACTACAAGCCATTAATAAAGGGATTTAAGAAGAAAAGAAAACCAAGGTTGTTTCACAACATGTTTTTCCACCCGGTGGCATTAAATAATGACCCTATAATCTTGTATTTCGAAAGAAATTTTAAAAAAAAATCAAGCCAGACATGGTGGCGTACACTGTAATCCCAGGGCTTGGAAAGTTGAAGCAAGAGGATCACTTGAGTCCAGGAGTTGTAGACTAGCCTGAGCAACAAAGCAAGTTGCCATTTCAAAATAAATAATAATAAACAAGAGGACATTTTCATATAACGTTAGATTTTTCAAGATCAAGAGAGAAAACATCCATGCTTTGTCTCTTCTATTTCCCCAATCCTACTTTCCTTTCCCAATGTCTTTGTACATGTGTCCATTCATTTGGGTGCTATCTTCGGTCACTCTACTTGCCATGCATCATGCATGCTAGTTTCATTACCTGCTATTGACTTTTTGTTGTTGTTGTTGTTGTTGTTAGTAATGGGGCTTGAACTCTGGGCCTGGGCACTGTCCCTCAGCTCTTCAGCTAAAGGCTAGCGCTCTACTGCTTGAGCCACAGGGCCACTTCCAGCTTTTTCTGTTTATATGGTGCTGAGGAATCAAACCCAGGGCCTCATGCATGCAAGGCAAGCACGTTACCACTGAGCTATTGTCTTTTTAATGAACCCTTTCCCCCCATGCCTTTACTACCACCAATATCCACACATACATGTCAATTCAGCCACTGTGTTGACTCTGTCCAGCGATTCCCAGCTCTGTCCTGGCCCCAAATAGCATCCCTCCTGGCAGCTGTCCTAAAGCATTCTTCACAACCCCTTCATGAGAGACTGGCACTCCACACCTTGAGGAAGAGAGGTTTTGTGAGAGGGCCATTCTGTTCTTCTCTGAGTCAGTCTTCCCCTCAGATACCCTTCACCCTGTTGAATAGTTGTTTTAACTAGTATCTAAACTCTCTGTGCCTGTGTTTCCTTTTTTTTCCTGCAGCGTCGAGAAGTGGCGAAAACTGTGTTCTGCTTGGTTGTAATTTTTGCACTCTGCTGGTTTCCTCTGCACTTGAGCCGCATTTTGAAGAAAACTGTGTACGATGAGATGGACACAAACCGCTGTGAACTGCTTAGGTATGATTCCGTACACCCACTAGGAAATTGAGGGCTCGCTGCTTTTCTCATATACAAAGTTTTCCCATCTAGTTTACATTTTGATTAGCCAGGAAAATTAAATTTGCAAAGGTGATTTTTTTTTAGCTGACATAACCCATAATGGATTCCCCAAATTTGTGCAAGCCATGTTTGTAATCTTGCCTTTCCCCTCCCGAGGCTGTGCACGACGGTTTCAGCTAAGCTAGGCACTGACTGATCTCTTTGTACCCATCCTGCAGCACCGAAACTGCCACTTGAACAGGCACCTTTTTACAAAATTCCAACTGCCACCTTATAAGACATGACTTCTGGGCAAGAAAAATGCTTATCCCAGGGATCAGCGCTGCTGAGCACATTTTAAAACAATATGATCTGATTATTCTACACCATTTTCCTTTGTTCTAGTTTCTTGCTGCTCATGGATTACATCGGTATTAATTTGGCAACCATGAATTCCTGTATAAATCCGATCGCTCTGTATTTTGTGAGCAAGAAGTTTAAAAATTGTTTCCAGGTAAGATTGCTTTGTAAGCATTTTTTTAAGGACAGCCAAATGAGTGGGTTAGTTAATCAATAGGCACAACCAATTCCAATCTTAATACTATTTTGATCAGCCCTATTCCTTTTCATCGGAGAGGTGAAAATCACAGTATGTTACTTAAAAAGTGTCAGGTTGTCAGCAGAGCAGAAAAGTAATGTCTATTCTGACAACAGCCTATTTGGAGGTTAAAACTAAAAGGATTATCTTAATTGCATGGCAGTTGAGTACTTTCTTTTTAAAAATTCTCCAAGGTGAGCTCCAGGAAAATTAAGTACATAAAACTGATTTTTGCCTTCCATTGTCTTAGACTTAACAAAATTCACTAAATGAGGTCAAATCATGCATTTAGTTAGTAACGGCTTCTTCAAGGAGAGTAAGTGCTTATGGCATTATTACCATAAGTTCAGTTTTCTTCTGTTTTCAAAACTTCCTCCAGCTAAGCCAGGTACACCCTGCAGAGGACCCCAGCATGTTATTGCTGTGTTACTTTTCCAGTTCCTCAAATGACTTTAGCAGGGAGTGAATGCAAACTGGGGCTCATAGGACTTAATGGGAAGAGTAGCATGGAGGTCAAGGTCAAAAGCATGGAATCAGGAAGCAAGCAACATTGACTGACATCTCAGCTCTGCGCTGGCTAATTGTCTGACTCAGGATTGCTTGATGCCTCTTCTGCTTTCTTAGTTTCCTTATCTGTAAAATCAGATGACCACTATAACCATCTCAGAGGAGCAGAGCTCAATGTGCTAAATGTGAAGCTTTTGAGACTAAATGCTGAGGATGTGTTGATCATTATTACAGATAGAATAGCAAAGGAAAGCCTAGTTACTTCCCTCCAGAATTTATCATCTAAAAGGAGACAGACTTACCAACCAAAGAATCACACAAAGGGAGGAAATGGTATGGAAGTTTCAGCTGCCCTATTTTTTTAGATCACCTTGAAAATGTTACATCACAAAATGCTGTTTCTCAAATGGATTCACTAACACACATACAGAGGGGAACATTGTGTGCTCACTATTGACATTTGAATTAGACACCATTAATTAGGGGGAAAGGGAAAAAAATGAGATACAAATTCTTAGAATTGAACATATTTTTGACAGGTCTTCCTAAAGCAGGCATATACCCAAGGGAAAGAGCCCAGTCTAGAGTGTCTCGGGCTCTAGTTCCAGTTGTTCCTCTTATTCTCCTCTCAAGGCCTCACCATCCTCCTTCATTCATAAAGCAGGGCAAACAGCACCTCTTACTCAGGGCTGTAGTGAGGATCAGGTAAAGCCCCTGGTGCAAAGAGTGCCATATGCAGGGAGTGGACTCATGCCCAGAGGCCCTTCCCTACCCCCCTCTGCCTAAGCTGAGATGCTTCCTTCTGGCAATGCCACCTTCCCTTCCTCCTCCACCTCAGTTAGAACTGAGGAGCAAGAAACCTCTCACTCCGCCCTGGTGAGTGGTCTACTGTCTAGTAATCCTCTAGATTATTACCCACTACTACGTGTGCGGACATCAGCTTCTGTGTTTGGCTGGGGACATGCAGGAAGGCTCGCTTGGGCTATTTACAGTCTCTTCTTTCTCCTAGTCGTGTCTCTGTTGCTGCTGTCACCAATCTAAAAGCCTGATGACCTCAGTCCCCATGAATGGAACAAGCATCCAGTGGAAAAACCACGACCAAAACAATCACAACACAGAGAGGAGCAGCCACAAGGACAGCATTAACTAACCATTGAAGAAACGTGGATCCATGTTCCTTCAAGTCCTGCAGGTGACTTGTCATCTGGCAACTATGTCTCCAGAAATCTCTTCTGAGCTCCTCTTCCTTAACTCAGTCCCACTTCCCCCAGTGTATTCTACAAGTGCTTCACCAGAGTGGACTAGCTTATATCCATGAATCTTCTTTACTTAAGTTTATATATTCTGCATGTTCAAACACTCAAAAATGGCAGGAAGTGGGAGAGAATGGAGCTTGTTCAATGAAGCCAGAAGGATTTTTGCTACCTTTGCATGAAAACAGTTTTGAGTACATGACCAGCTTTGATGGTGGTTCTATGCAGCGTTCCACAACAACTGGTCATCGGAAGAATTGAGAAATTAAGACCAAATATTTTTCTTTTTTGGCCAAGCATAACATGGATTTTGGACACTTTTCTTTGAAATGTCATTCAGTGCCAGTATTTTTTTTTACTGTATAATAGCCTAGAACTGTTTGAGCTAATTTACATATATTTTGTAAAAAAAAAAAAAAAAAGGACAAAAAATAATATTGAGATAAGCAATGAGGTTAAATATTCCCGATGTCACTGTTTTGTTTTTTAACACATGAACTCTAAAACTGCAACCGAAAATCAGGCGCATAAAACACAGATTGATCCTCAGTAGCAGTTCAATAGTTGCTATTTGAAGAAAGTTTTTAAAACGTGTACTTTCTTTTCCTAATAGTTATTTTTTCAGAAAATCTTGAACATATTTTTATGTTAAATTCAAAAATAATATTTGCAGTCTGAGCAGGGTGATGCATGCCTGTAATCCCAACCCTGGGGAGGGAGGAAGAATCACAAGTCTAAAGTCAGCCTGGGCTATCCAGCAAGACCTTATTTCAAAAATAATACTAATATATGGATAAAATAGTTCTCTTTTCCACAAGCCCAGTCTTTTATGTAAAAGCTACGTTCCAATTTTGTATGTGTCATTTAAATTTGTCTGAGACTTTCAGTGCAATGTGTAGAAGTCTGAAGTATACCTAGGAGAGGAAGAATATTTTTAGAGGATGTAGAAACTTTTGTTGGGTTTTGTAATATATATTATCCCATTTTATTCTCTTAATTTCTCCTGAAATGTTAACTAGCTGTAAAGCTTTTTTGTAGTTCCTTTTCCCAAGTATGAAAGCTACTTTTAAAATGGTCAAAGTAGTTGATCCTACCAGTGAGTGCAGTTCCTCCCACTGTGAGCCTTTGATTTGTCATTTCTCTGGAATGACAGCATGAACTAAGTCCGTACCCACCCCGCCCACTCCCAGTGGTCATCATTTCAAAGGGCCCACCATGACTTTGCTGGGCATTTTCCCAGATGTTTACAGACTGTAAGGAAAAAAAGTCCTCCATTATTTGTGAGAGTGTGTGTGTGTATGTGTATGTGTGTGTGTGTGCACGCTCACGCATGCACGCATGTGTGAACAATTGTACATTTTTGTGTGATACACCTGAGAAGAATGGACTGTGTAGATTCAATAATCTTAATCATAATGCCCTATGGTTGTACCAAAGCACACAGTCTTAAGTGGCTTCACAACAACCCACCTTGGTCACTTCACACACAAGAATCTCCTGTGTTTCTCCATCTTATGGACTGTGTTACTATGGCAAGTGGAGTATGGGTGGGTGCGTGGGGCACCATGTAAGGGAAGAACCATGGGTTAGCAACACAGTGTTTTGCTAAGTTGGTTGTTTGACAAATCAGTCCTACTGTTTTTCTGTGTTAAAGCCAAAGGCATTACACCTTGTGAAGTATTATTGTTCTAATCCTAATAAGTTGCCTGATTTTTCTATCGAACTTCACCAGCTACACTGCTGGTGATAAATTAGGTAAACTAATGTGTTGGGTTGTGTTTTAGCATAGTCACAGTGAAATGTATCAGGTTCCCAGCTGTTTGAATTTCTCTCTGTGTTAATCAGATTCCATCCTATCATCAGGCCATGATACACAGTGAGGCGTTCCTGTCACATAAGCCTTGGGTCCCCACTATTTTGTATAGACAATTGTATTTTAAGTAATTTTGTTTCTTTCATATAAAATTTATTTTATAATTTCAGAAAGTCATAGATTTCTGAATAACTACACAAGCTTCAAAATGTATTTTGGTTACAGACTGATAAGGAACTGTGGTCTACTAGAAGGGATATTTTCAATTTCTACCTTTACCACATCTTTCCACCAAGTAACTGTAGAAATGAGCCAGAAGCTAAGGCCCTGAGATGGCAGTGGCCCATAAGAATAAAATAAAAAGTTTACAGAAGCTTTGCAAACGTCTCTTCATTTTTCCCAAAATTCTTTATAGAAAATGTGCATTACATGATTCTGGTTGCCAATATCTCTCCTTAGAGATGTTTTTGCCCGCTTACCCAGATACTTCCTAATTGTATTCTACCCTCACTCGATCAACCTATTTTTGTTGTACTGTACAATTAACTCTCCCATTCACTCCTTCAGTAGCCCTTCCAGTACATTTTATTGAGCATCTATGTTTTTTGTTTTGGGGATTTTTATTTTGTCAGTCGTGGGGCATGAACTCTAGGCCTGGGTGCTGTCCCTGCACTCTTCAGCTCAAGGCGAGTGCTCTACCACTTGAGCCACAGCACCACTTCCAGTTTTCTAGTGGTCTATTGGAGATAAGAGTCTCACGGATGTTCCTGCCCGGGCTGGCTTTGAATTGTGATCCTCAGATCTCAGCTTCCTGAGTAGCTAGGATTACAGGCAAGAGCCACCGGCGCCCGGCTGAGCATCTATATGCACCAAACATTGTTTGGGCATTAAAGAGAAAGCAGTGAGTCAAGCAGGCAGGGGTTCATGGAGGTCTCAAAACAGCTTGCATTTCAGATGGCAGAGTTGGGAAAATAAGCAATGATAATCCATAACCAATGTATTAGGTAGATGCCTGGAAGATGACACGTACATCCTACTGCTTCTTTGACATCTCCCCTTTGATGGCATCATATCCAAAATGAGGCTCTCAATAACTGCTCACAAATGTCACCAAAAGCATTGTCCACATGGCTAAATGCAGTTCCATCTTTGAGTTACTTAAAACCTTTGAAGTCATTTCTTGTTCTCTTACACCTCATGTGCAACATCTCAATAAACTCTGAGATCCTGTTTTAAGAATATTCCCAGGACTTGGGCTGGGAAGGTGGCTCAGTGGTAGAGCGCTTGCCTTGCATGCATGAGGCCCTGGGTTTGAGTCCTCAGCACCACATTAGCAAAAAGAAAAAAAAACCAGAAGTGGCGCTGTGGCTCAAGTGGTAGAGTGCTAGCCTTGAGCTGAAGAGCTGAGGGACAGCACCCAGGCCCAGAGTTCAGGCCCCACAACTGGACCAAAAAAAAATTAAAAAAAAAAAAAAAAGAATATTCCCAGGACTGTACTGTTCTGGCTCTTTTATTTGCTTCCTTCATCTGCACACTAGAGTCTTGTACACAGCTACGTACCCAGCCTGCTCTTCTCCCCCATACTAGTTAGATTAAGCTCCGCCAATAGTACCTTCTGGAGACTTGTCTACTAGTAAAGCTCTAAGTAACAGCAGAGCAGATGCTGGTGGTGCGGAAGCCACTCGCCACCTAGGTTTGGGCATAAGAAAGACAATTATCTTTATTTTTATTTTTGCCATGGGGCTTGAACTCTGGGCCTGGGCGCTGTGCCTGAGCTCTTCAGCTCAAGGTGAGTGCTCTACCATTTGATCTGCAGTGCCACTTCCCGTTTTTGTTGGTTAATTGGAGATAAGAGTCTCACAGACTTTCCTGCCAAGGCTGGCTTTGAACTGCGATCCTCAGCTCTCAGTCTCCTAAGTAGCTAGGATTACTGGCATGAGCCACTGGGGCCCAGCTGAAAGCCAATCTTTGTATGACAAAAGAAAAAAATTGGCACAGGTCCTTGTTTCTGGCTTTTCTGATGCCTCTGTAGTTTGCATAAACAAACCAAAACTTGTGATAGCTAAATTCAGATTTCTGTTGTCTACGAGGAAGACATTGAACAGCCATCTCACCTAATTTATATTTTAATGTGGATTATGTATTTTTTATTTTAATAAGTTTTTTATTGTAAAAATACTGTACAAAGGGGTTACAGTTACATGAGCAAGGTAATGAGTACATTTTTTATCAAGCATTGTTGCCTCCTCCTTTGATTTTCCCCTAACTTCCTCTCCCTCCCACCTCCACAACTACACTCCCCTCACCTAAATTGGAAAGTTTGTTTTTCAACATAGTGTCTTCTACATCTCATTGTTACAATGGGTCAACCTGTATCCTTATTTAAACATTTTGTTTTTTCCCTTCCCCTCCCCAAATTATACCGACATCAAATACAGTGAAAACAGGTTAAACCGTGGGGGAAGAACATACAAAGCAACAAAAAAATCACATGGTACCTTATAAATACATTAGAAACAATAGCAAGAAAGAAAAAAACCTTTTGTGTCCCTATCTTGCAGTTCATTTCCCTTAACTTCAACTTATCTGGTCATATGTACATAGCTTTTGACCTTTGCTACTTGTCCCAGGGATTATGTATTTTATCATGTGACTTTTGATTAATCCATTAACCTCTCTGGTTTTTAATAATAATATCCCTGACATAGCATTGGAAATTACACGTGGAGCAAAGGAGTGCACTGACCATCTTCCCTGCCTCCTCAGGCTATGATGCTGTCTCCTCTGTGTTCTTGGTGAAATAATCTAGTACAATGCCACCTTTACTGCTTTTACTCTATTTCAAGCATGTGAAGTTTTTCACAATGCACAAGTCTGCCACATGCAGTCAGTTGTTCCTGTGACTCCTTTGGGGTCTTTGCAATGAAACTCCCAGTGGTTTCTAAAAGAATCCTACATGTGGAAAAGCTGCTGTCATTCTTTCCTCTAAGCAGTAACAAAGACAGCTCAGTGTCTATATTTGGTCAGGGCTGTTGCTCTTTGACTTTTCATTTCTAAAACTGAAAGGGAATGGGGCCTCATTTCCTAGAATCAGGAGACTGAAAATAACATTTGCCACTGCAAAACTGAGCCTTCCCTGGGAAGAATGCTAGGGTGATCATGTTTGATTTTATGAAGCCAGAACTCATAACATCTCCAAGTTTGCTAAGCTTTTAACATGAAGAGGATCCACTAGTGTCTGTAACTGTGCTTCTTTCTGGGAGATAATAAACTAGAGACAGCAACACTAACTCTAAACATAATCAGAAGAGTCATGGAGTCTTCCTAGGGGAATATGAGATGAGAATTCCACACATTTTCCCTTTTTAGTCCTAACCACCGTCATTTTGTCTAGTGGATCTATATGGGATTAATCATTGTTCATTCAAATCTGATCTTGTCAAGGTGGGTACCTTAATGTATCTGGTGTCATATGATGGATTTGTCCCAAATGGGTGTCATGACCTTGCCTTGTCTACATAGTATCGTAGTGTCAAGCAATTCATAGTCCCAGGCAGCTCCAGGGCACAACTGTGATTCACTCCATGCAGACACATTTTCCCCACTGTAAAGGCATCTCTCCAGGAACTACAGCCCTCTGTTTCTATCCCAAGTAGGACTATTAAGATTAACTTCAATTAAAACTCACACTGTTAACGTAGCCAAAAATGAGATCTATTAAATGCAAGCGAGTGAAGGGCATGTATGTGTTGTTTTAGGCTTAAGGGTATAAAGCTCTGCACAATGAAAAGCCAGTCTGCTGGGCTGCATTTGTTCTCCCGTTTGTGAAATGTACTAGACTGTGCCTCTCCTTCTCCATGAAGGCCCTGTGAGGAGGACAGAACCTCTGACCAGCTCAGACCTAGCATAGCCAGCTCCTGTAGCTACAGGGAGGCACGGAGGGAATCTTCCGTGCACAGGCGAGGCAAGTGTTTGAGCACTGAACTACATTCCCAGCTCAATCCTCCACAAATTAACAGCTAATTATACAAAACACCCAAGGTAAGGGCCGCAGTGCTCAATGGCTCAAGTGGTAGAGCACTTGCTTAGCAAGCACAAAACCCTGAGTTCCAACTCAATGCCACCATCATGAAAAATAAAAATACGAGCTACATCAAAATCATTTCATCTGATGTGCATAATTTAAACAGAACCAATCCGGGGAAATAAATTTTCAATAAGCTGAAGATGCATAATGTCTGCATGGCTAGGTTTTAAAGATATTCTTTCACATGTGTCTCCCAATCTCGCAGCAGGCCACAGGAAACGGTCTCGCTCTCACTTCCCTGTCCTGAATCCATCAGCAAGGAGGGCTGAGGGAGAGGAAGCTCTGGGGCCATCCCAGGGGCCCTTCTTCTCTCCTTACATATGTCATTGAGAATCTGTAAATTAACAGGCTGGTTTTCTAACTACCCTTTCCCAAATGCTACATTGCTGGATACTTGTTAGGCAGAATTTCAAATATGACATTTCTCAGTATTGTCACCCTATTACACAGACTTTTATATTTTAAAAAATGCAGACATTCAATAATTTGCATTACAAACTTACAGAATTCCTAGGTCTTAGCCAGCTTTTATAATCAGCATGGCCTCCCAGAGTCTTTTTCACTCAAACTATAAGGGACATGGAAACTTTAATGACTATCATGGAAACTTAGAATTGATTGAGACCAAGGGATGGTACAACTTCCCAGCCAGCCTGGGAGCCCCCCTCCCCTCCCACATACACCCCGGCCCCGTTCCAACAGGTTGTCTCAATACCCCAGGGATCATTTGGGAGTTATGCTTAAGTCCACTCATCCACAATTAGGCAGCATGATGTTTGGTTTTACAAGCTCTGTGGACTACACCATATACAAAAGGGGCTTTGTGGCCCACCACACGGTCAAATCAGTCACCAAATTACTCTATCCCATGATTCTTTTATTTTCTGGTCTTTTTTTTGTGATTAAGTGATTACACAAATTTCACAGTGTTGTGAGATAGTGATACTTAAAGTCACAAACACATTCTAACCTTCGTGGGGCAAATTGTCTTTATCATGGTCTATAAAGTTTGTGAATTTGGGGCTGGGAAGGTGGCTCAGTGGTAGAGTGCTTGCCTTGCATGCCTGAGGTCCTGGGTTCGATTCCTCAGCACCACATAAGCAAAGAGAAAAAAGCCGGAAGTGGTGCTGTGGCTCAAATGGTAGAGCACTAGCCTTGAGCTGAAGAGCTGAGGAACAGCGCCCAGGCCCAGAGTTCAGGCCCCACGACCGGACCCAAAAAAAATGAGCTTTGACAATATAGTTATTTCTTCCACATCAGGTGATATGTACATTTCTTTCATTTTG